AGATAGAAGGACACACAGATATATATATATATATATATATATATATATATATATATATTATGTAAGTATGATATAATTTCACTATTTTTAATTTGTTTGTATAAAAAATTAAATTTCATATACTCTTCTAGAGTAATCATTTCTAATTTGTCCACATGTTTATTACTATTATAAGACCGTACAATTGATAATGGTGATATAAAAATATATTATTTTTGTCTATAAATGCATGATCTTTAATTTTAATTTTCTCTCCACCTTCCAATATGTTGTTATTATGACATCAGAATATGTTATAATAATAATAATAAATAAATAAATAAATAAATTCAACTAAGACCAAATTCAAAATGATTGTACTAGACTAAATTGAAAGGATTTTTTTTACAGTCAAAATAAAAATCATTGTACATATTAATACCATAAATATGCTTTCAATCATATTTGTTTAAAGAGAAAAATATAGATGAAAAATCAATTTGGATCCTCTCCTGTAATATTCTCTCTCCAGCCTCTTTCCTGCAATATTAATAGCCATTGAATATATTTAATGACTCAAATTTAATCATTTAAAAAGTTACATTAATTATAAGATTAAATTTGAGCCATTAGATATATTTAATGACTATTAATGTTGCAGAAGAGAGACTGGAGAGAGAATATTGCAGAAGAGGATCCAAATTCATGGTTACATTCAAAGAACTTATTTTTAGAAATATCTCATGTTCCTTCTGAAAATAATGTGATAATATAATCATAAAACTTAATTAAATATTTGGTATTTAAAAATTCAAATGATTTTTTATTATAAAGAACTTATTTCCTAAATAGTTCTTTTCTATTTTGAATTTTTATTTAGTTTCTCTAAGTGTTATGAACTTTCTTTTAATCTCTATATTTTACCTTTTTTTTAGCTCTTCTAAATGTTGTAAGTTTATCGTTATTCTTTCTGAAGGAGTGTGTACATTTAAACAAAAAACAATTACTAGGGTTAAATAATAATGAAGATAAAGCATTTACATAACAATTTAATTTCGGTTCTTCTTATTATTATTGTAATGCTTTTGACCAAATATAAAAAATACTAATAAAAATATATTATAATTTAACCAAATTGGTCCTAAGATAAATAAAAGATATAAAAACATTTATGATTACATTCAAAATAATTTAAATAAAAAAAGCCACCTATTCATTATAAAAATATAATATAATGATATAATGACAAGGTTTATATGTTTTAATCTTTAAAAAATTGTAATTTTTCATTTGGTTCCTTATTCTTATTTTTTAAAACGAAGCTTTTATAATACATTTATCTTAACCTTTTAATTTTTGTCTTCTATTTAATCTTTCTATATATGATATGTTTTTTTTAGTCTTTCTAAATGTTAAAAGTTTTCATTTAATCTTACATATCACTCATTTCTTATTTAGTCTCTATAAATAGAATACTAATGAGATACTCATAATATTTAGATGAATTAAATGGAAAAACTAAATAGAAAGAACTATTTAATAATAAAAAATGTTTTATAAGATATTAATTTAAAAAACTAAATATGAAAATAAATAAGAAAATCAAGATTTATTTTTTAAATTAGACACGATGATAAAGGACGATACTAAAGAAAAGACATAAACCAATCAAGCCTTGTCCACGTAGATGAGCAGTTCAAATCACGAGGTATGACTCATACGTAACTTCTACTGCTATACTATTACTATCAATCAAAAGAATGCGAAAATTGAAAAAGAAAGAAAAAGACATTAAAATAAGAGCTACGGTACCTTAAAGATCGAGGAGTTTCAATACATTTTTCTATATAAATTGACTTCTTTGATGTTATTTATTTTTATTAGAAACTCTTGTTGGAGTAACTATGTCTTAAATGTAATATGATATCCCTCTTGAGGACTTGTTTCTATTCAATTTACTTCCTTTTAGAAATCTTGTTTTAAAATTTAAATTTTTGTGCTTATTATAGCATGTGAGATACGGGGTGGCACAATAATTTTCATGTATATATTTACTAATTTAATGGTTAAGAGGTGTTAATTCCATCGAGATCACAAAAGACTAATGAACAAAATCCAACTTTTACAATT